TAGATGCAAAAAAAATAGAACTAGATTTTCTGGATTCTTGTGTAGCGCAAAATAATTCAAAATCTGAGCATGTTGATGAGCAAATTTATACTTAGTTCACGTCACAATAATTATTTTTTTAAGTATATTAAATAAATATGTCAAAAAACATCTACCTCTTTTTATTGCAAAATTCTCAATTAAATCATCGAAGTTGTAAATATAATCGTTTAATACGATTTGTAACAATTTCTATGAATGCTTTTAATAATCGCTTATGAATTATTTAGTATGAATACAATAGTGCATTTAGCTATGCCTGTGTTATATTTTATTACAATATATTATATCAATTGCGAATGAATGCACGATTTATATGGATTAACAAATTGTGAAATGAATTCTTTTAAATTAACTTCTCTTTGAAGTAACAAAGATGTAGAGAGTAATCAAGTATGAATACCTGTCGAATACTCCAATTTTATTCGTAATAGATAATCATTTTTAAAAATTTTATTTATATATATTTTGCAAAATTTTATTCTTTTAAAAAAATTTATAATATTCAAAAATATTTCTTTTATATCTTCTTATATATTCTATGATTGCTGGAATCACGATTAGTATTTCGATTTGTTTAATAATATTATATATTATAAATTAATATTAATATTATAAATTATTTGATTCAATATAACTATTTCAAGACAATTCGCCAAAAGTTTAATCGATTAACATAGCTCAAATATGTATATTATATTATATCTGTTAATTTTTATTTCTATATATACATATATACATAATTTGTATACATATACATATACATAATTTATATATATATTATATATATATATATATACATAATTTATATACATTCGTATCAATTTTTTTTCATCAATGATGTAAATTATGAAAAATAATTCAATTTGAGTTTATATAAAATTAAATGTCTAATTATTTTTATATATTCTATGCATAGAAAATTACAGCTTTTGATTTACTTACTATTTGTTTTTAGTATGTTCTTTAATTTTACCAAAATTTTTCTTTTTTTTATTTATCTATTTTTTTTATCGAATTTTTAATGTATTCTTCATACATAATACTACACGATGTACATAATAGCATGTAGCAAAAATTCATTCCCTCCATAAAATCGCACCAAGATGGGTAACAACATGGGTTCATTATCTAGTCTTTTCATGTATCGCAATAAATATTAAGTCATTCCATAATAATAAAATTCTATAATGCTGTTTTTCCTTCTTCTATTTTCATTTTACAATTATTTTCTTATAAAATCTTTTATTAGTTTTTTATAAAATTTCTAGCATAATAAATGTATCAAATTTAATACATAAAAATTACTTATTTATGGGATTGGCTTAATATTATTTTTCCCTAAATAAAATAAAAAGGTGCAAAAGACAGTATTGTTGCAAAACAAAAATATATTATCCTATTTCATATTTTAATATAAAATGAAAACGAGACGAAAGAAAAAATCAAATTTTGAAGAAGATTTCGATACATTCCCTACCAATATTTTACAAAGGATGCACAAGCACGTACAAATGTAAATCTATTATACTATAGCGATTGGTGGAAGAGCATTTGCTTGATGTACCAAGACAACCAACGAGACCGGAAAAGGCGCGGAACCAATACAACAGAGAGCAGGTTTTACGACTCTTCTTTGAGAGCATTAATGGCATTGCTTCATATCTGGGATTCAGAAAGTAATCGCGCACCGACTATGATTATAAAGAGCATCGATACACGAGGATGAATCGTATGAAAGAACAGAATTTTTGAAACAATGATAGTTTTATATTCGTTCGTAAAAAGAATCACATTTATAATTGAATTTCGTAATTTTCATAAGATATATATTAATTCTTTTTATATAATAATTTTTTTATAATGTTCATTAAATTAGAATGCGTATCCATTATCATGTCATTAATGTCAAAAATTATACAAAGAGAAGAAAAATAAATTGTTTTGTTCATCCTCGCACTATCATGCACTTTTTAATATTTTAAGACACTGCCCATTTATATCTTATGTTTAATAAATATATCGAAAAAATTAATGATATTTATTGCTAATATATACTAAAAAAGCTTATCTATGATATTACATTAAATCTTTGTTTAGTAAAGGTTTCGTAAAATTGAATTTTATGCCTATTATATAAATATATAAAATATATAAAATTTTTTTAAAAAAACTAACTATTTAAAAAAAAAACTATTAATAATATTATTCAAATTTTTTTTTTAAAACTATTATTTATTTGAATTTTTTATAGAATTATCAATTTATTTTAATCGATTTTTTTAAAATTACTTATTTATTTTGAATTTTATTTAAATTTAAATTTTTAATGTAAAATTATTATTTTATATATACAAATTTTATACAAATTTTTTTATGAAAATTATTAATTAATTTTATCAATTTTTTTTTATAAAACTATTAGTAAATTTTTATTTAAATTAGTATTTCATATCTTCTACCAAACGAATAATACTAACAATAAATATCATAACAAACATATAATAAGCTACACTATTTACATTGTCAAAATTGCGAACATAGATTTAATTGAAATTTTAATTTATGTTAAAAACATTGTTTGCATTATTAATACTAAATAATATAAGTCAATGGAATATCTATAAACAATTACCTTTTTAGGAATTCAATTGTCATCTCAGAAAAACAACTTGAAGTATCGAAATACTAATTTGTATAATATTACATCTATTATATATTCGTGTAATTTTTTCGAGTATATATATATATAATTTATTAAACACTCTTTTTTTATTATTATAGACATATAACTTCTTCCTCATTTTCTCTATATAATTTTACATCTTTTTTTCTTATTTTAATAAACATATGAATAACAGCAAAGGCCTAATGTTATAGAATATGAGTCTGGCATACGGTGAAATGGTATTTATTTTTATTGCTTCAAACATTATTGTATTATTAGATACAATGTATAATATATGCACTAAAATGAAATGAAAATATTAAAATATGACTATTCTCTAGTAGAGAAGAAAAGTCTAATTTTTTAAATTTAAATTTTCTGTGTAAAAATTAATTTCTGTGAAATGAATTTTTGAAATATCACAATAGCTTTCAAATTTTATTTTTCTGTTTTTTTTTACTTTTTACTTTCTTAATTCTTTTTAAAGAAATTAATGTTAATAAGCCAAAATTTTTGACATTATTTAATTTTTTATTTTAATAATTTCTGATAATTTCTGATGAAAAAACTGATAATAAAAATTTTGTCTTAAAATATAAATTGATAGAAAATATATTCAAAAATAATAATCGAGTTGAATTTAAAAATTTTTTAATTTTTTTAATTAAATAAAATGGATACCCGAACATTAATGGATATCCGAACATAAGGATTAATTTTATATTATAAGTTTATGGGTTTTAATATATAAAATAAATTTTAATATATAAATGAATAAATAATCTTTTCTATTCGATAAATTTTTATATACTAAGAAACAATATTTAAAAATAAAAAATAAATTATTTAAAAAAACATTTATAAAATCAATGAAATTTAATAGTTTAAATATCATTAAACAGGATAACTTTTCTTCACTATTAGAATAACACGAATAAATTTTGGCATTGTATCTTGTTCCATCCTAATATATATGCGTGCACAATGACTCAGAAAACAAGATTAAAAATTAAAAAAAAACCTTTTCGCGATTATTATAGATAAAAATAAAAAATAATATCATCTGAATCATTGTACACTTTTTATTTTGTAATTATATTTTGTACATAAGTATCATAAATAAAATCGCATTAACGAGAGTGCCATTTATGGAAATTTCATCAATTTTGTGAATTATCCTCTCTCTTATCTCTCTCTCTCTCTCTCTTTCTCTCTTAATTCTTTCCCTTTTTCTTTAAATTTAAAATAAAGAAAAAAACGATATTATCCATTTCAAATTCGGCGATGTTCTATGCAATGGCATAGTAAATATTTCATTGTAGCGAACACGTGAAATTTACTACTGACGTCGGGAGAGAATGATTTACAAGGTAGTTAAAAGCAGCATCTATGTTTCTTGTGTATCGAAGGCGCACAATGTTGGGTGAAAGTAATAGATATATATGTACTTGAGATATTTATTTAATATATATATATATTATACGAATATATATTTGAGATAATTATCTAATATTAGATCTGTTTTGCATTATTTTATCCTAAAGGAACAAATAGCGTTAATGTAACGAAAATTCAAAATTTTCAGGCTAAAATTGTTACGAGACGAATCGAATCGCTTTTAACTGCAAAGACTGTGATGAAAAAACCGTCGAAGAAGATTAATAAAAAATATGAAAAACAATCAACGATTAATTGCAAAATAGACAAAAATGATATCGTCATTGATAAAAATATAAATAATAATTCTACTAATTTTTCAAATTATACAAATCAGAATTCAAATTTTGTTCTTGAAAATACATTTTTACAAAACGTAAAATCTGGTAAAAACAATAGTAAAAATAAGAAGATAAAAATCGTGAATGCATTAAACAATTACCGAAAAAAAATTACGGTACGTTCGAAGCGTTCCTTGGACAAAAAACCTAATTACGTAGGCTTCAAAAAACAAATTCCCTTATCGAAGAGGCTCTATCGTCATCCGAACCTGAGTTACGAGGAGCAACAAAAGCAAAAGAATCACGCGTTTCAGGACGAAGGTATAATTATAAATTTCGAAAGTACGGTGAATAAACGCATCCTGGACATGTTTGATTCATTGCAATCAAAAACTACAATCAAACCTTTGTTAAAGGAATTAAACAAGCATAGTTACGTACCACTGTCTTCTAATAATAATGAATATTTTGAGATGCAAAAGAATTTAAAAAATCATATGGATAATAATACGGAAAATGATAAAAAACATTTCATAAAGATACAAAAATCTAATGATATAAAAATTAACAAAAATATGTTAAATGAAACAATTAAAGATATGAATATATCGCAGAGCTTGATTAAACAACAAAATCGTAAAAATTATATCAATATACAGGATCATCAGAAAGATGTTAATAACACGACATCCTCGGATATTTTAGAGTATGATCCAAACAAAATTCCATATGTTGAGGTACCGGATTACTCTGATATTAGGGAAGAAAGTTTGGATGAGAAAGATCGTCAGATGAAAGAAGGGAAAACTGATTTTATTGATCCAGAAATATCAACGAATCATGATAACTCTGAAGAAAACGTAAAAAAGTTGTTAAAAGGTTCAAGGCAAAATTTAATTAAAAAAAATGATTCAAATTTCACAAATTTTAAAATGTATAGGAATATAAAAAAAATGGATAATAATAATGAAAATAAACCAGATATGGCAGATAAACCAGAAAGATCGAATGATTTCAAAGACTCTTTTGAACGTTTAAAAAGTGATAAATTCGAAGAAAATAAAGAAGAGAGACTATTAAAAAATATAAATGAACTACGAAATAACAAGGATAATTTAAATAATTCCAACATCGATAAAGAATCAGAAGAAAATTCCCAAGAAAATCACGAGCCTCGGGAAGATCCGAGGGAAACGCAGGAGGACACAGGAAGTCAATCGGGTCCCATAATTTTCGACATAAACGAATACAGGAAGCCATTCGATCTAGACGAATTTCTTAAGGACGATCCGATAATGAAAAAGTTGAAGCTGCTCGAAAAGGAGACACGGACCAAGTACGGACAGAACGGGAAACAAGTTTCAGCCGACTTTAACGAATCCGAAAGTGATAATGCGTTCAGGGAACAAGCGAACGGCCAAAGGAATTCTGCTGAGGTACAAGATACTTTCGATGATCTGTCAAAATCTCATCGATCTAGCGACTTCGCCGATTCCATCTTTGCAAAAGTGGATAAAATAAAGGATAAACAAAATAGAAAAGATAGGAAAATAAAGAAGAAAATAAAAAATCGTGAAGATTCTAACGAAGAGAACAGCGACGAAGACTTTTTAAGATTTATCTTCAAAAAGGACAAGAAAAATAATCCTTTGCCTGGATTCGAAAATGAAGAAAAATTCCTCTCCCGATATTTCACGGAAGATGTAATTAGAAACTTGCAAGAGGATATCGAAAAAGATAGCAAGAGAAAGGACAAGTTCCGTAAAGAAGACATGTATGAAGCATTATCGGCAATCTTGAGAAAGAAAAGTCAAGTCTCGCGGCTCAATAAGGACATTGATAAAAGGATCGAAACCGGAAACGAGCCGATGCTCGAATACAAAAATTTCTGGTCCTTAGAATATAAATCTCCGAGAGTCGACATGGAAGCGCAAGAAAGAAGGAAATAGCGGCATATCGATTGAAATCTCAACGAGATGATCGCGCGTATCGTGGTATTGTAAACACGGATGAAAATGTTGCATTACGTTAATCATGAGAGCTAATCTTTGAATCGAATCATATCGATCTTTTTCAAACAATGTTATTATGTCACACCTGTTAAATATTCCGAGAATAAAATGAGGAATAAATAAGGATAAAATTGATTTTGATCAAATCCTGTTTTATATACCTGGAAGTAGAAAACCCATGATAGATGGATATATTTATAATAGTTGACGTCTCGTTTCAAAGACATCCGGATACTGTTAGATCTTCTTTAAGCAATCTGGTTAACGATTGATCGAAATTTCTCTGCGAATCCGGTGTCGCGGAGAGTTGCACGATTCCGAGGAATGCGGGAAATCGAAGAAATCGAATTAAGGTAAGATAGGCAGCGGGGTTTCCCTCGTTCGAGGGATGAATCTGGCCTCAACGGATATATAAGGCCGTCATCGTACAGTGCTCAGTGTCATTCGTCTGGTTTTATCAATTCCAGCAGCCTCGGCTTGTTCCAAGCGCCAATAATCAGGTAAATAAAGATACCATTCTGATACTGACAGAGAGAAAACGCATTTCATACCAGTCACGTGGCCCTATCCTTTACCTAACCGATCTATCGATCCGATTCATGCTCTATCCCAAGTTATATATATTGTCCATGCTCAACGAACTCGAAGTGCACATATCCTGGTCCATTGATCCGCACGATTATCGCTGTTTCCACGATCGATCGTGCGTTAACATCGATCGATCGATCCTTGGTCTTGAATCTTCAATCTGCTTCCTGCAGAGAGAGAGACGGGGGAAAAGGAGATACGGCTGTAAGACAGAGAGATAAGAGACACCTTCCATCCATATTTATGTTTATGTGTTCACAATATGACCGTTAAGGAGAACGCGGAAGTACGATCCGGGAGATTCTGGTTATAAATGACGATATAAATGAAGGAAAGAGAGAAAGAGAGATAAAAGAGGGAAACGAGAAAGAGAAAGAAAAAAGGAAAAAGGAAGAAAAAGAAAAGGAAAAAAAAAAAAGAGATGACCACCAACAGCGGATATGCTTAAACAATTTACATCGGAGAGACGCGATATAATCGCTCGCGGACGATAAGTATCGCCATTCGTTGAACAGAAAGAATAATTCGGATTTATTAAAAAAGATATGAATATCTTGTTCCTTTCCGATTAACAACCGTACCTCGATACGATACCTAGTTTTTGTTTGTTCAAACTTGTAACATTCGACCGTCTCTTAGTTCAACAACTTCGAGCATTTATCCCTGAAAGTTCATGAGTGTCATTCCCCTTCTTTTTCTTATTATTATCCTCCTCCTCCTCCTTATCGAACACTTGTCCAAGATCGGTAATTAATCGAAAAAAGTGAATGAAATATCAACACTTGGCTTTGAACAAAGTATCCTGTCAGAGGCTAGAGTAGGCTTTGCAATTTATAATCTATACCCTGTTATATTTATCTTCATTAGAATTCGCGTTGTATTAAATATAACTAATTATTTTTTTTCTTCATTTTTTTATTTATTTCTTTCATTTATATTATAGATAGAATAAAAGTTGATGCACACAATATTTAATCTTATATCTCGTTATTATCGTGAATTCTATTGGTTTCTTCGTTTTTTGCAATCGTATTATAAAATAATTAATAATATATGATATATCCTATATTCGAATGAAATTTGTTAGGCATAAAATTGTTATTTAGGATGAATTAATCAATTTCACGTTTTTCAATTTCACGTTTGTTACAGTCATGAACACTTCAATCCGTATTTTGCTGGTGCTCTTTTTAGCCTATTTAATGGTATTCATGTTCGTTGCAGGAAGCGTTCCTTTTGAACGAGCCATAGGTAAGTTTAATTGCAAAATAAAAATTGCAAAATATATGTAAAATAATATTTTACGATTAATAACGATTCTTGATAACGATTCAAAATAAATATTGAATTTTGATTTAAATTATTTAATTACTTATTTAAATTAATTATTGAATTATTTCCTAAGGAGTCTGTATCCGAAATTGCGCTCAATGTAAGAAAATGTTCGGCCCATACTTCCTTGGACAAAAGTGTGCCGATTCTTGTTTCAAGAACAAAGGAAAACTCATTCCTGACTGCGAGGATGAGGATTCGATCCAACCATTCCTCCAAGCGCTTGATAGCGAATATTAGAAAATTAAAATCGACTTAATGTTCCTCGCTATTTAATAATTATTCACGCTAAGTATAATACATACCAAAAGTAATGCGTCTGAATTTGCAAATAGAATATACAAACATAATATATCTCTCTATTAAATAACAAGTATATCGAAAGAATTCTTCTTTTCGTTTTTTTTTTCTTTTGTAATTTTTAATTTTGACTCAGGAAGATATATAATATGTGATTATAACAAATTAAAGCTATTTAATTTCATTTGTTATCTATGAGTATATTTAAGTTTATATTTAAATATATATTATGAGTATATTTAAGTCTATATTTAAAGTATTATTCATATATAGTAGTAATATTATTAGTATTATTAGTATTATAAATATTAACAAATATCAAAGTGGAAAATGAATATATATCGATATTAAAAAAAAGTCAACAAAATATCTCTTTAATAATTAATATCATAATTAATATCAAAAAAGGAAAAAAGATTCTGAATTTTCTTGATTTATCACAAATAAAAAAAATATATAATACACAAAAGAAAAGAAAATACTAAATACTACATATTATATATTTTATTGATATCTATATAAATCTTGAATAGATAGAATGTATTATAAACTTTCTACTCACTGATTTTTTATTCTGGAGTAGGAGATATTACATGACACTCTGGTATCGTAGACAATATTTGCTTTGATTCTAGTTGCTGTACCTGAAATTATGTATTTTTGTATTATTTTGTATTATATATTTCGTATATTATCCTTTTGTATTTTTTTTTTTTAACTCGAAGTATTTTTATTTTTCTTTTTTATACATATAAAAATGTATATTTACTCGTTGTCGAAGAGTTTTCTCATTCACGGCAACTCTTGATAATAAATATTTTACTTTGTCTAAAAGTTCAGATTTGTGACACAATTGTTCCTTTAAAATTTTTATCTCTCCGTTATCTTCCTCCTTCTGTACTTTTTCTAAGGCAGCCACTCTTTGCTCAGCTAATTGCAAATCAGTTTCTAATGCCACGATTCGTTTCTGTGCTTCTTCATAATTCTTTCGTAATATATTTTCACTTTGATTATTTAATAATTTATCCTACGTATGATATGTATACGCGTATAATTATTAATAGAAATGAAAAAATATCGCTCTAAAGAATTAAAAATTAATTATATTCTTGCCTGATATGTATGATTTTTTTTTGATCCAAGTTTGAGACGTCTATTTTCTATCTGCAATTTCTCGATAATTCTTTTCAAAGTAAAAATCGTTTTTTCCATCTCCAAAATAGATTTTTTCGAACCATGATCTCGCAAATCTTTGTCCGACGATCTTGGAGTCGAATCAGATGATTTTTCTACTTTTAACAACTCTATGTATCTGTATAAACAATAAATTATTAAATAAAATATTGATTTTATTATTATTGTTAATTTATCTAAAGATTTGTTGATTAATCTATCAAAAAATTATTTATTTTATTTCAAAATAAATAAATAATAAATATGCATGACAAAATTTAAAAAATAAAATATTATTAATTAAAATTCAATTCATTGAATTATATTTTGTTAATTTTCAAAAAATTTATAGTAAAAAACTTAATTTAAGAAATCTACTTTTCCAAATGTTCAACTTTTTCCCTTAATCTAGGCGTATCCGCATTTGCCTTTTCCAATTCAATACGAAGCTCGAAGTTCTCAGCTTCCAGCTTTAAATTCATTTTCTCCAAAATATCTTTAGTCATTTCGAGTTTCTCCAATTGACTAATAACATTACTGTTACCCTACAAAATATTGACAAATATGAGAAATAATTAAAAAATAAACCAAACAGCAATAAACAGACAGACCTGAGAAACGATTTCTAAAGCAGCGATGTGTCTCTTTTGCTCTTCGATTTGAAGCAAAAGTTTCTCACTATTCTCATTCTCCAATCGATTGGATAATTCTCTAATATGATCTCGCAAAGTTTGACACTCTTTTTGAAGCTCCTGCATTATATTTTGATGAACAATTGTGGATCGAGCTGATATATTTTCAGCTATAATATTATTTTCTGTTTTTAATTTGCTTTTTAAATACCATTTTTCTCTTTCCATACAAGAAACCACTGATCGAAGTTTTTCATAATTCGAAAATAATTTTGCGTACTCATCTGTTTTTTCTTTCAATTTCTCTTTCAATTTTTCGGCAGTTTGTTGCCACTTCTTTTGTTTTTCCCATAATAAAAGTTCTTCTGCTGTCTATATAATAGATTTTAAAATTATTGCATGAAAATTTAAGAGTAATAAGTAAAATATTACATACTTTGGCTTTCTTTGCTCCTTGAGCTAGATACTCTTTATCTAATTGTGCTCGAGCTTTATAAAGCTCTTCCTCCAGAGATTTTACTTTACGTTCAAGTTGATTTTCACGCTGAGAAGTTTTTTTTTCTTGAATTCTTACGGCCATATATCTGTAATAAAGATAAAAAAGTAATTAAAGAAATAAAAATAATAATAAAAATAAAGATAAAAAGATATCGTGTTTCTTGTGATTAGGTTGTAGAAATCAAAAGAAAGGATTATATTAAAATTAAAATAAAAAAATTGCATAAAAAATTCTATTATTCTTAATTATTATAATTATTATTAATTATTAGATTATTATAATTCAAAATATTTATTAATTTTTTTTATCATTAACTATAAAAATTCTATAAAAATGTATATTGTATATGTATTAAATTTTATTTAACAAATCTCAAGATATCTATCTATCATAAGGAATTCATTATATTATAATTTTTACTATTTTATTTTTCGTCCATTACAAAAATACCTGCGGCTAAGTTGTTGTTTCAAGTCGGATATTTCATTTTTATACATTTTCTCTTTTTCTATTAATGATTGCAGTTGTTTTTTCACAGTATCTGTACGACACACAGTATCTTGTTGCTGCGTGTCATCGTGAGTACTCAAAGTTGGCGTAATTTCATGTATTTTCAATGCTGATTCTCCATGAGTTATTGCTTGTCGTGCTTGAGTCGCAGATTCCATTAACTGAACTTCATTCTTCATTCAAAAAAAAAAAAGAAAATATATATATATTTATATTTAAAAGATACATATTTAATATCTGATAAATTTCTAAATATTTTAAAAATCTAATACTTGTAATTCTTGATATGCATAACTAAGCTGATGAATTTTATCATCCTTCTCCTGCATCTCCTTCAACAAAGTAATATTTCCTTTTGTAACCATCATACGATTTTCAGACAACTGTTTGCGCAACATGTCTGCCTCTGATTGCCATTTCGCTAATTCCCCAAGATAAATGTCTAATTCACTTTTATGTTGTTCCTCCAATCTAACAAAAAACAATAGTTTAATATATTGAATATTTTATCATTCACAATAATTTACCGTTCTCTCATACGATCCATGTGTTTGAGTCTTTCCTCCGCCAACCGATGCCAACGATCACTCAATTCTTTAGTAATATTCAGATCTGCTTCCAAAGTCGAAACTTTTTCTTGTAATCTAGCAATCTCTTCCACTCTCATTGCGATATTTTTTATATCTTCAGTTTTCGATGTAATTTCTAAGGTTTTATTAATTAATTTTTCAGGTTTTTCTTTCGTGTTATTTTTACTACTATCATGTTTCTCTTGACTTCTTTGAGTTTCGCTTTCCATCGATAAAATACGAATATGTAAATTTTTAATTTCTTCCTGCAAACGAGCCGCAGCTTTGCTATGTTCATCTCTATCTTCTTTCAATAAATTTTGATATCTAGCTATAGTTTCTTCCTTTTGACTGAGCAATTTCTGTAAGCTATTTATTGTCGACTTTAATGCAAGATATTCATTGCATTGTGAATCAGTGACTTCCAATTCAGATGAAAGCTTGTATTCTTCCAATAATTTTTTCTTCTGCATTAATTCTAGATCTTTGCTTTTTATAATCTTATTCAACGAATCTATTTTCGCCTGACATTCTATTATCTGTAATTCACATTTAATTAATGTAGACGATCGTTCTGAAACAAGTTTCAAAGCTTCATTCAATTGTTCACGAAGTAATGAAATTTCTTGATCATTATTTTCTTTCATCACTTCTTTCTCTTTTTCTGCTTTTTCTTTGCATTCTATATTTTCTTTGGAATAAATTGATTTTTCTTTCTCATTTACATCCATTTCCATTTGCGTATTTCTTTTTGTCGATTCTTTCGTTTTTTCTTTAAATTTTAGATTTTCTGAATCATTTTCTTCGAAACAAATTGTTTGAATTTCAACTTCATTTGTTTCTTTCTTGTTCAAGCAACAAGTATATGGATCCGTTTGTATTTCCTTTGGACTTAAATCTACGATTGTTTGAACTGATGCATGTTTATTTTCTTGTAAAATAGGACTGGTTGCAATATTATGTGTGTCTATTTTGGATTGTTGATTCTGTCCCTTATTCCATATTTTTTGAATTTGTACCATATCGTGCTCCATTTGATTTATAATTGATTCGTATTCCATATATTTGTTGTTGACAATTTGTAGTTCATATTCCAGTTGCATTATTTTTCGTTTATACTTATAATCCTATTTAATTGTTAATTATTAATTTGGAGTCAAAAGATTTTATATATTTTAAAAATATTTTTGAAAAATAAGCTTAATAAATAAAACAAAAAATAATAATTATTATATATATAATAAAACAAATAATAATAATAATTTTAATATTTCTATAATTTTATTTTTTATTAATAAAATACAAGTAGATAAAAAAAAATAAAATATATAGTTATTAATGAATAAATTGTGGATTTTTATAATATAAATATATTTTTCATATTAGATTTCAACTATTTTTCATGTTTTGCACATTTTACATGTATAATTTATATATACATTTTATATAAATTGTTTGATATCAAATATATAATAAACAGATTTCTTATAAAAAAAAAAAAATTAATAAATTGTATTTTTTAAATTGTATAATTTATAAAAAAAATGTACAGAATATAATAGTTCAAATAATAATATAATACAATATTAAAATAAATTTAAAAATATTTTCTTTTTCATAAATTAATTCTTTTTTTAAATAAAAGATATTAATTTATGAAAGAAAAAAAATCTTAAAAAATCTTATCTTAAAAAACATAATATAAATTATGATAAATAAAAATATAAAATTTAAAATTATTTCAATTAT